ATAATATTATTGACTTAAGAAATTGTTAGTGACCTAGAAAATGATAAGTGATTGAGAATTGTTAGAGATGTAGAAAATTGTTAGTGACCTATATTATGAATAGTGATTTAAAACATACTTTAGCAATATAGTTAGTGACTTATCATGTTAATGGCTTGGAACATTATTAGTGAGTAGGTTATGATTAGTTGCTTTGATTTAAAAATTAAAAAAATTATTTGTGATTTATTAAATTTGTTATGTCTGTATTAGACATGTTAATTATTTGAAATTAAATAAATTATGATAATATCTTTTTAAAATTTGTGGCATATTATCATGGTTGAGTCATCGTCATCTGAGTCACCTCGGTCTACACTTGAGTACGAGCTTGAGCCCACATATCCAACCACACATGTTTTTCTTAGACCATATAGATTAGATATACTTAGGAGGCACATCTCATGATGTTCCGGGAATTGAGACTCCTCCACATCTTGATATTCTTGTATTTGAGTTGCGGGCATACCATCTTTCTCATCATTGTTCGAAGCACTAGCATTCTCGGCAAGATGTCGATCTTCCATTGTAATATTTTCTTCATCGTCATCATCAATATCGTCATCCATAACCCTAGTAGGGTCATTTTTATCTTCCATAGACAAATTAACAACTGGAACAACAGATGACGATGCATTATATGCAGAATTGAAATCAATTGACCTCATTGGTAAAGCAACATCCTTTGCTTTGGCAATATCCACGTACAACTCTAAGAAATCTTTCATTGACTGGTTGAAGAATTGTCCTATAACCATTTCTATGTCTTCATCATCTACTACTTGCATGCCAAAATATTGTTCATCACACCATATTCTTGTCATGACCAAAGTGATAGATTGGTTATCTTAGAGAACTAATTTTTTTATAGATTTTCTGATGCAATTTGTCAATAGTTGAGTTGCGCTTGATATGTATTGGCATTTTCTCGCCTTCGAAAACTACACCACGTCAGCCCTCCACTCTCCTACCATTATAATATAGACAATACGAACAGAATCAGAATTTGAATTTATTCTTATATATAACCAAAAAGCACAAAAAGAGAGTATAAATAAGCAAGTTCTAATATATCTAAGAGCGAGGAGATGATGCAGAATAATTGTGAAAAATGTGAAGAGAAGAGGGGTTTAAATAGAAGGCAGATGGCTGAATCACGTCTAGATTGGGCGAGTAAGGGAACATGCCGCGCCCCTGGGAGGCGATACTGGTGCAAAGTGGCGCCTAAGGATGTGCATGGGTCGAACCGAACCGGATTTTTTGAAAAATCGAACCGAATTGGTTTAAATGGTTCGGTTCGGAAGTGGTTCGGCTCGATTGGAACGGTTCGGTTCGGTTTGGAACCGGTTCGAGTCGACCCTCTTTTGAAAAGAAAAAAATTTAAAAAATTTAAAAATAAAGTTATAAAAATCAATTTGGTTCGGTTTGAAAACGATTCGGTTCGGTTCAAAATGGTTCGGTTCTTAAACATATTCTAAAACCGGTTCGGTTCATGAACTGGTTCTTTAAAAACTGATTTTTAAAAACCGGTTATTTTAAAAGCGGTTCGGTTCAGTTCGGTTCATGATTCAGTTCAATTTTGTAGGTTATTTTGCACACCCCTAGTGGCGCCTAGGTGAGGCCAGTGGCGGAGCCGGGGGTTCAATTTGAGCTCAGGTCAAAAATTATATGTGTATTTATTTTTTAATTTTAATTAATTCATATTACAATACATTTAAATTATACTAAATACAAAGCACCTGAGCAGACGACACTAAGAAAAGTTATAATTTTATTAAATATTTTTTATTTTTTTTTATACAAGTGAGAATTGAACACATAACCAAGTACAACTTACCCAAATCTCTTACCAAATATATTTTAATTTTTAGATAGAGCAAAATACAAATTTTAGCCTGGGCCAAAACAATTTTAACATGGGCCAAAACAATTTTAACATGGGCCAAATTATAATTAATTATATAATTACATATAATAAGTATAATTTATTAAAATTTAGCCCGAATCGAAGCCACTCTCCTCCAGTGGGTGAGGCACCACCTGTTGCGCCTAGTGGAGACGTCACTTTGCACGAGTTGTGTCTCACTAGGACACGACTTGTGACATTATCGTAGGCGCGACACATTTTTATAAATCTGTAATTTGGTTTGAAACGAATATGTCTTCATAATATTTTATTAAAATAACAATATATAAATTTTTTGCCTTCTCATGTATCGGGTTTGTCGAAATTTGTTTAGTACATCAATCAAACGGATTTTTGTTCTTGTACATTAAAAACATATTCTTAAAATACATATAACAAACAGGTTTTTTTATTTTATAATTTTTTTTTAAATTAATTTACCAAACAGATTTTTTTCTTTTCTACCTCTGAAAATAAACTCTTAAAAACTATTTTATAAAATAGTTTTTTTTTAAAAAAAAAAAATCAAAACACTTCCAAACAGACATAATTTCTATGTGTACTTTTTTTTACTTAAAATCATACTTTATTCAATAGAGTATGATAACATGCTCTGAACCAATGTCAGATAGATTGGGACCATTGGGTGACTCACAAAGGAGCATCACAAAGATAACATTCAGCCCTCGAGCAAAGTCCCTTGCACAATCAGATATACATGTAACAATTAAATGTTTAATATTTTCATGCTAGATATATTCAGAGCTTATGTATGTTTGAAGTTTTTGTTTAATCTCTCCTAAACTAACACTTCTTGAAAACTTAAAACTGTAAGTTTCTTACTTTCTTAACTAGCTCTATAAGGTGAGAGTTCTTTAAGTAGACAAAACATTGAACACTCTTTATTACGAGTTATTTTACTTTTATTTAAAATGATTAAAGCAGTAAGTTAAATTGATAACGAATAACTAATTATGTCATAAAATTATTATTATAAAAATTTAACTTTTTTTTCTACAGTATAATTATTTTGTATATGAGCATAACTAGGAAACTATTCAATCCATGATTCAATCTACTGAAAAAACAGCAAATTAGCAATTTTTTGTTCAATGAACCCATCAATTTAATCATTTCCACATTATTAATCATCAATTTAATCATTTATTATTTATAATATTAATTAATAATTAATTACTAGTAGTTCTCATCATCACTTGATGATAATATTTTAAGAAATTATTAAATAAATAAAAATTGGTGTAAATTAATTTTGATTCAAACCCAATATGTTCTTTCTTTAAAATCAATCAAATTCCTCATTAAGTAATATTTTAATTATGTAGATATATATATGAATAAATATTAACTTTTAATTATTAAGAAGAGGATATTTCAAAACTTTTATATTTTATTTATAAAGAAACAATCTTAATTATATTATTTTGTATAATTCTAATTTAAATAATCGTCAGGCCGAACTTAAAATAAAGACAGTAATCAATGCTAAATGTCCTTCCATTTTGTCTTTCTCTATTAGTTTTATTTTTCGCGCTCTCTTATTTCTTCGTTAATAAGAATTTAATAATGTTATTAGGGTTATTGGTTTAATCAGTAGGTCACTAGTTCAACCGTATGACCTAATAATTATATGCAAATCTAATTTATATTAAAAAATTATAAACATACTCAAATAATTGAAAATAACAATATAAATTCTAAATATTTTAATATAAAAATAATAAATTATATATTATTATCCAATAAAGGATCAAACAAACATATAATTCTTAAGATACTAGTGTTTCATATTCTGTAAACGACATCTCTAACTATAAATCAAATCAAAATTGCTTACATAGTGCATAACCGAAATAATATTAGTACTATAGGTACATAACTTATGTAAATCAATAAATAACGAATCACTAAAATATACCAATTATAAAAGAAATTGGAATTTGTTTTTGGAGTTTTTTGTTTAAAATAAATCGAATCGGTCACCGATTTTTACAAAAATCGATCGAGTCGCATTGGGTTTGGTACATGGCTAATCCAATATAATAACCGGACTGGTTAAATGACTGGTTCTCCGGATTCTGAATCGACCTGATTTTGTTTTTACAACATTGGAATTTAGAAATCATCCTCCCTTAATTTTAAAATCAATTTTATAATACTAGTGACGTATTAAGTTGTTTAAATCAATTAATGATTGGTGGATTAATTACAATATGAGGACTAAAAAAATTAAAAGATAAAAGTGGATATGTAATTTGGATTGTGGACAACCTGTCACATGACAATATCTATATTGAAAATAAGAAGGAAATTATTTCCCGTGGAAATAAAGTTATCTCTTGTAACTTTAAAACGATGTTGTTTTGAAGTTAAAGATTAAAAATAAAGGGTATTTGAAAATTTTACATTTTTCTTTAAATTATGAATTTTTTTAAAACATCATTTATTTTTAATCTTTAACCTCAAAATGATATCATTACAAGACTGCATCACAAATAAAAAGCATATTAAGGTAATGTTGTTTATGGAAATTATTTTCAAATAGGGGTTATATCTTTCATGTTATAGGAATCATTTATTTTTATTTTTATTTTTTACTGTTAAGAAAGGACAAGACCAAGAAATAAAAAGGTTTATTTTTCTTATATTCTCACAAGTCACAACCCATATATGAGCCTCATATATTTTTCGGTGGGACCATATAAGGTTTGTGTGAGGAGAGGGAATTCCTCTCTACAGCTGTAAATGACCAAGTGAAAAATCGCGTAAGAGGACGTTTGGTGCGAAGTATTTTTTTGGATTCTCGAAAAACTGAATTTTTTAAAATTTTAAATTTTTAAATATTATGGTAAATTGAATGTAAAAATTATACTTTTGAAAATTGAGATTCTCGGATAAAAAAAATTTCTCATGTACCAAATACCCCATAAAATGACACTGTAGAAAAAGAAAGGAACTTAAAAAGGAAAAGGTAACATCATGAGTTGTTTAAAGTCTTAATATCATCTTATCTTTAACTCTGAATTAGCTAATCGTGAGATAATCTCAAAAAAAGAAGAAGAAAAGTTCACACAATGGATTCCACACATACATGCACCTAGTGATTTCCCCCCATAAATCCCCCGCATATTTAATGTGAAAATTAACAGAAGAGTTCGAGAATAGTTACAATAGTCCTTCTTCTGTCTTCAAACCAACACAACGATGTTTTACCCCAAAGACATGACTTCCCCATCCTCAATTTTCTCGGCTTATGCCTCCATGAGTGCCTCTATTATGCTTCTGCGTTCCATGTTCAACGAGTTCGTACCTCAACCAATTCGTGGCCACCTTTCCAATGCCTTCCGCTACCTCATCAAGCCTCGCTCCTCTACTCTCACCCTCATCATCGAAGAGTCCAGTGGCATAGCTTGTAACCAAGTCTATGATGCTGCAGAGGCTTACCTCTCCACCAAAGTGAGCCCTGAAAATGAAAAGCTCAAAATCAGCAAGAGTCCAAAGGAGAAGAATTTGACTATTCGGTTAGAGAAAGGTGAAAAGCTAACTGATTCCTATGATGGGGTTTCCCTCAAATGGAGATTTAACTGCAAAGAACCAGAGAATAACAACTCCTCCAACGATCATCATAGTATCCCTGTGAGGTCGGAAAAGCGATATTTTGAGCTGAGCTTTCACAAGAAGCACAAGGAAATGGTCTTGGAATCTTACCTACCCTTCATTCTTGAGAAAGTAAAGGAGATGAAAGATGAAGAAAGGGTGTTGAAGATGCATACTTTGACCTCCTATTATGGTGGGGTCAGATGGGACTCCATAAACCTCGAGCACCCATCGAAGTTTAAGACACTGGCTATGGAGTCAGAGCTGAAGAATGCGATCATGGAGGACCTAAATAGGTTTGTGAATAGAAGGGACTTTTACAAGAAAGTTGGGAGGGCATGGAAACGTGGGTACTTATTGTATGGCCCTCCGGGTACTGGCAAATCCAGCTTGATCGCTGCCATGGCTAATCACTTGAGATTTGATATATTTGACTTGCAACTTGGCAACATAGTAAGGGATTCGGACCTGAGAAAGATTCTTCTGGCTACAGCAAATAGGTCCATTTTAGTCATTGAAGACATTGATTGCAGTGTGGATCTTCCAGAGCGTAGGCATGGAGATGGACGTAAACAAGCTGATGTACAGGTTGGTAATTCTAAATAACTATCATACCTGCTTCTTCCAAGTATTTACTTAAACAGGTAAATTAGATTTTCCTTAAATGCGAAGTACCCTGATTACTTTTTTATTCACTAGTCTGATATCTGTGTCTATTCATGACCCGTCAGTGTATGATAGCAAACTGCCAAGAGTTCTTGGCCTAAAATGGTTATTTTCCAAATTCCAAACCAAACAAGTGGGTTCTGATTGAAGTATGCAAAAGATACAATATATTCTCTTGCTCGTCTTTTTGTTTTAGAAGTTGACAGGTTCATTACTTTACCATGTCTTTAGACTCATTTTCTCATTTGCGAGGAAACTTTATATTCCTTTTTTCTCTTGCGAGTGGAAACGTGCTGTTTTTAAAAGCTTCCCCTGAATTGGTACGTGGGGACAGTGGACTACCGTGCACTTTAATAATTAGTTAAGAAATTTGGTTTTGGTGATAATTTATTAATTAGTTTTCAGGAAAGTTGGATGCCACATACGATGATCCTCCGTGTGAAACATTATGATGTTATTATTATTATTATTATTGGTAGAAGATGTTCATGAAAAATCAACACCTTCACATATAAAAACTAAACTCTGTTAGTGATACCTTTATTTTTCTTTAACCTTATGGATCGCACTATGTTTTTAAGCTCTAATTTGTTCCCTCTCTATTTAGATACAATTTAATTTAGTAATTTCTCAAACAAAACACACACACGTGTTAATTTAAATATTGTTCTCACAGTAACATCTCTATCATTTAGTTGAGTTTGGATGCTAAAATTAGTCTTTGGCTCATAATGCATTTCATGGATGTATGCAGTTGACTTTGTCTGGATTACTGAACTTCATAGATGGGTTATGGTCTAGTTGTGGAGACGAGAGAATCATCGTATTCACCACAAATCACAAGGAAAGACTAGACCCAGCTCTGTTGAGGCCAGGAAGGATGGACATGCACATTCACATGTCATATTGCACCTACGATGGGTTCAAGCTTTTGGCCTCAAATTACTTGGAAATTTCCTCTGACCACCACCTGTTTGGGGAAATTGAGGGGCTAATAGAGGACACACAGATAACCCCTGCGCAAGTGGCAGAGGAATTGATGAAGAGCGAAGATGCTGAGGAGGCACTTGAAGGATTCGTGAATCTACTTAAGCGGAAGAAGATGGAAGGTGATGTATGTGAGAGCAATAATCCAGATAAAGCAGAAACTCATAAGATATCCAAAAGGCGTAAGGCTGCAGGTTGCAAGCGAAAACAAGCTGTTGGGATCAACAAGAAAAATAGTGCTGTTACCCTAAGAACGACAAGAAGAAGAGGATGTAGTTTGTAATCAGCTGGTCACTGATGGAATGATCAAATAAGATTGTAGGATCTACTTTTTGTCTCCAAAAATAAAAATTGCTGATGTTGGCTTCGGGCTTTTGTTAGTTTTAATCTATTGCTGTGAGCCTACATTTTCTATCCAAACTGTGCTTGAACTCTCTTTGATGTACATGAGGAGAAGAAATGAATGAGACGCAGAGTGTGATTGCCAGTTTCACTAAGTGGATGGTATATGTATATGTGATTATGTATATTTGTAGTAACAATGATCACAAATAGATTCATGAGAATATATATCTCCACTATCCATATTAATTTTTTGTGCGCGTTTGCTCCAGGCTTAGACCAGGTACTTTGAATGTGTAAAACTTCCAGGCAGCCTATGATCTTTTTGTGTGTGTGTGTGTGGATAATAGCCTATGATCTTTTTAGACATTGAAATACGCTTTCTAATGTGTCTAACTTATGAGTGGGAAAGCACAAATGGCCAAAAACCATGACAGCATGTGAAAATAAGCTATAAAATAAGACTTGATGCATAGCCTAGCCAAACAACTCAAACAATAACCTAAACTCGTATACTGAGAGACACCAACAAATTGAATGAAAGAATTCAAAGTTTATGTCGGTAACTCGGTTCTCTCGACTCGGGCTCAGAAGTTTTTTTGCAGAAGTCAGTCAATAAGATCCTGGATCTCGGATCTCGACAATCTTACCTCGGCCTGAATTTCAGCAGGTCGGGCAGCGCAACGTAAAAACAAAAATATAAAAGGGAGAGAGAGAAAGAGAACACAAACAGATTTTAATGTGAAAAAATCTTCTCCAATGAAGAAGTAAAAACCTACGGGACCTAGTCCAGTTCAAATGTCCACTATGAAAATAATGGATACAAAGAATCAAAATTCACTAAAGTGATGGTTAACACAACTTCTCCAACAATGGTGATAATCAAATTTCCCTAGAGATATTTCACTCAAACTCTCTCTAGAGATCTCTCAAATACAAAGTTTAAAGCTTTGTTCACAAATCTCTTAAAAAAATTTCTCTCAATCTTCTTGTTCTCTAACCTGGCCTCCATGCACAACTAATGAATATATAGAGATGGTTAGGATTTTTAGGAAACCCTTCAATGGCTTTGGACTTAGCATTAGGAGAAAGCCCAACAATTTATGAGGTATGCAAACCAAACTACCTTTTAATAAACATGCATCAAACTGTGATGGAAAATGAAAGAATTACATGGTCCGAAAACCAAGAGTATCAAACCTCCAACCATGTACAAGGCTTAACTAATCATATTAGTTCATCATTAAAGTTAAATCAGAGCTTAAATAGTGTTGAATTGAAGATTTAAAATCAATGTATCTTAGTCACTTCCTCGTCAATTTTCACATAGGGATGAGATTGTTGAGCAGTATACATTTAATAGTATCTAGTTATAATTGTGGTAGCAATTATATGAATTAATTGTAATTAGAATTGATTGATAGGAGATATCAATTATCTGATTTTGATTTTTTTTTTCTTGATTTGAGGCATGATTGAAGCTAAAAATTAGAGTATATAATTATCACTATACAAAGGAAGAAATGTACATATTCTATTTTTTGACATGGTATCAGGGTTTTGGTCTTTGTAAAACAAATCCCTCTTTGTTTTGCTCTCATTTAGGGATGTGATTATTGAGCTATACACATTTAATAGTATCATGTTTTAATTGTGGTAGCAATTATAGGAATTAATTGTAATTAGAATTGATTGATAGGAGATATCAATTCTGTGATTTTGAATTTTTTTTATTTCCTAATTTGTGGCTTGATTGAAGCCCAAAATCAGTGTATATAATTACCACTGTACAAAAGAAGAAATATACATATTCTATTTTTTGATATGGTACCAGAGCAGGGTTTTGGTCTTCGTAAAACAAATCCCTCTTTGTTTTTCTCTCATTTTTTCCCCACCCACCCGTATCTCACTTCTTTGGAATGTCTTGTTTTTCTTGTATCTGTATTCGTATTCCCAATTTTTTTCTCAAATCCCTAATTTTCGAGGGCTATCAACAGTTCTGAAAACCCCAATCTTACTCTTGTGCTTTTCTCTTCTCCCCAAAACATCATCCTTCAACAAATCATCCCTCCCTCCCTATCACCATTGTCCTTGATGATACCAACCATCCCTTATTGACCCAACTCATGGATATGCGTATTGGTGCCCGTAATAAAGGTGGGTACCTAAACAGTGTTACCAAGAAAGCGAATTGGAATGATCTGCCTACGATGCTTGGGCTACTGAAAACAAATGGGTTAAGAGTTGACTTATTGATTCCAGGAGCCAACCCCTCATGCAACGCTTCCTTCGTATTGAGACTGCCAAGGAAATATGGGACGCTACGATGCGAACCTTCTATGATGGTTCTGACGAGACTGTCTTTTTGAACTCAACCAACGGTCCTTCAACACCAAACAACTAGGTCGCCCGCTCTCCACGTACTACAATGAATTGTTGTCCATTTTCTAGGAGATTGATCACCGTCTTTCTGACCAGGCTAACACGATTGATGGTGTCCTTCATCTCCATTCAGCTATGGCTCGTCTCAGGGTTTATATCTTCCTTAGTGGCCTTGATTCCAAATTTGATCAAGTTTGTGGTGAGATTCTATGTAAAAAGCACAACAACGCCTCACTGTGGGACACTATCAGCCTAGTGATAGTGCTGCTCTTCTCACACATCCACTTCGCTCAAGGCCTTCACCATCTTCTGGCCTAAACCACACAAACAAGCCTTCCTATCTCTACTCTTATTGTGGTAAGAAAGATCATTCTCAATAGCGATATTTTGAATTAATTGGTTACCCTGATTGGTGGTATTTCACCAAGAAACCTCGCAAGAAGGCCTTTGGGAAAGGTTTGATTGCAGCTTTTGATGTAGATCCTGCTTCTCCTTATGCAAATATTGCCTCTGCTAGCATTTTAGGTAAGCCACATGGGAATTCTACCTAGATCATTGATATAGTAGCGCCTCAGATCATATGGTTTGAGATTGTACTATCTTCTCCAATGTTTGACCTTGCACCCAATCTATAATTTCAACGACTAATGGTGGCACCTCAATTATTACTAGTCAAGGTTCCACTGTTTTATCTGATAACTCTCTTCATTTTAGGCTATGATTGGGGAATAGGCCTAAGTAGTTAGAGGATAACGTTGGAGAATTTTTGGATTGGTATTCACCAACTAAACCAAAAATCGATATAATCCAATTAAATTTTGCGGAGTGTTTTTTCGATTTTTGATTTTTCAATTTTTGATTAATTTGGTTATTATTTTTTCGGTTCGGTAACTACAGTTTGAATCAGTTGATGAACACCCCTATCTTTACACATTCATTTAACAGCGGTTCATGTGGTATTCACTACAAAAAATGAGGTGATTTGTGGAGGTCATATTTTCATATTGTTGAGGTCTTTGACCCCCACAAAAGACATTTGTGGCATTCACTCAGACCTCCAGTTCTGCCTTCGCCACAACATAGTTTGTGGAGGTTTTTTGTGCAGTGCCACAATTTGTTGAAGTATTTTCTGGAGGCTCTAGACCCCCACAAATGTTTCAGTTTCTGGAGGTTTAAGACCCCCACAAATTTGTTGAAAATTAAAAAAAAAAATCATTTAAAATGTTACGTTTCTTTTAAAAAACCAGGTAGATTCAAAAGGATAAAAAAAAAATTCATTCCAAATATTTGAATACATATCTAAATAGAACTTTTGGCAAGGTTAGCTATCTGTTCAGTCTTTCTCCTGTCTTTTTTATCTCTAGATACAATCTCCTAGTCCTTTTCACTGCGTAACAGCATGCTGAGCTTCCATTTCCACTCGTCCACATTGGCCACCGTAGATGATGCCTACAATAACCATCACATTTTCTTAGAACTACTGAAATCACAAATAGTAGCCTTATCACAGAGCTGATCATGGTTCTCAGAAGCTACTGAATAAGAATGGAGTTATACAAGAATAAATCTAACTCCATATTTGATTCAAAGAAAATGTAAGTAAAGAAAATTTTTGTTATCTGTAATCAATTGAATTCAGTTTAATTTAAGCAATTAAAAAAAGTACACGAAAAAAACAAACCCGACTAAAAATACCTAAACATAAATCATTTAAAAAAAGTAAGCAATTTTAACTCATTGATCCCAACATTTTCTTAATAGAGTTAAATATAGGATAAAGTTCAATCCCTCCAACCAGGAAATTGTCTAATCTGAATGTGTTAGTTGTATCATACAGTCCATCTCACAATATAGTTATATTCTGAAAACCAACATTAATTCCACAAACCTTCAAGGATGCAGAGGTTGTATTGATCCAATTAGGGATTGAAGCCTCATCATCATTCATATGCAACCCATCTTTCTTCCTCGGGTGAAACTGAATGCCATGAGTTCATTGCTATAATGCTATCTTTCTTCCTACAATGAATACACAATCAAGTTTGAGCCCAAATGTAACACAAACCTGAATGGTAAGACACCGCATTCTATCAAATTGAGGTATAAGAAACCTGTCATCATGCCATCTTACATTAAGCATATCACTCTTACCAAATTAAAAAAAAATATCATTCAAATTGCAAAGGGAGGGAATTCTCACTGAAAGTATACAAAATGCTCTTGGAATTTGATTTGTAAATTGAGAATCTCTGTAGTCATTACGTAGTGTCAGAACAAGGACTGCATTTATAAAGTACATCTGATTATATGATCGATGAATCATCAACTTATTTATTAGAAATTTTTTTGAGAACTTGTAGAGAGAGAGACTAACTCGGCAAGGTCGTCGAGCTGGCGCAAGAGTCCAACGAGACCAGCCATGGCGCAAGATGGGTGTGATTTTTTGCTTCTCAATTTTTTTTCTCATAATTATTAGCCAAATCAAAGCATGACTGCATCTATTTGCTTCCCATCAAAGGGTACGATTGATGGCTATTACATATTTTGTCATGTTTAAAAATATCATATGGTATACATGTATCAACAGTTAATTAACAGTCTCTTACAATACACACACACATATATTATGATGACACCTCAAAGCTATGAAGTCTACGGGCTAGACATTGGACCACACAGAGAAAAAATTTCATAAAAATTTAAAAAAATGCAAGAGAATGTACTATCAGAGAGATTCAGGACTTGAAAACTGACCATGTCTCGCACAGTCGCACT